GCATAACCTGACTTTTTTCACCAGAGAATTATTATAATATGGTTGTACCCTTAAACGCTGTTTGATGTCAGATTTAGGTTACTGTCAAAACAAGCAAACACGTGAGTCCTAGGAACTAATTGAAGAGAAGTAGATGTGGCCGCTGGGACCAGAATTTTATTCGCCTGACGTTTCGAAATCCGTCGCGGATACGTCATCCACCATCTTAAGTTGCGGCTCCTTCGACGAGATCCGGCCACACATTTGAGTGGCCGAAATTCTCGCGAGAGATGACAATCGTCTGAGTCGCGAATGACTTAAGTTTTGGTTCACGGCCACTACCTACTTCTGGCAACACAAACGAGCATTCGAGTCCCAGGAAGTAATTGAGAAAAAGTAGATGTGGCCGCTGGGACAAGAATTTTATTCGTCTGAAGTTTCGAAATTCTGCTATTGTCTCTAGTAGATTATAGAGCTATGCTTTTTCTTCAAATCTCCTTGTTTAAATTTTGGTCCATAGGGAGCGGCTATTAGTCCTATCAAGTACAGTGACACCTTCTACTGTATAGCTCGCCTTGAACTGTAGAACAGGTCCATATGCGGTTGGAGGGCGAGAGGGCTGTCCTGAGTCTCAGGAAGTAATTGAGCAGAAGTAGATATGGCCGCTGGGACAATAATTTTATTAGCCTGACGTTTCGAAATCCGTCGCGGATATATCATCAGGAGAGACAAGAGCAGAAACAGGTACTTAATGCACAGGACATTGCAGTACTTATAGGCTACACTCACTGTGATACTGCAGACTCATGACAATTAACGGCTACCTTAGTGAGGATAATTGTCCGCTAGTGCGCTAACTGCTTGATGGCCGGCGTGCTGGCCGTGACCTGTTGAACTTTCATCACGCGTAGTGGAATTGGGCATGATAATTGCTCGGCCACCTGGTTCCCCGGCGTAGGCGTGAGACGACGTGGGGGGCTGTGCGTTCCCCAAGTGGCGACTCGTTTTGGCCAAATTAAGCCTCAGTATCGAATATGGATGAGGCAGATCGTTGCGCTTGTTTATAGACTGGAAGGCCGTGAACCATGACCTATGTAACTGGCCACACACGCATACACAAACGATTGAAACCCCTCGCGAGAAGTTCTGCCTCATCACACTTGAATGTGTGGTCGGGCCTCGTCGACTGCGCCGCAACTTGAGAATTGGCGTCATTTCTCCGCGCGAATTGACAAACACGCAGAGGCAGCAGTGCGGTGTAAGACTTAAGTTACTTCTGGTCGAGTTCAGCAGAGTTCGTCTCTGGGTGAACATCTGTCGTGCCAGACGAGTCCATACATTCCCGCATGTCTAATTGAAACAAAATGCATAATTGGGACAGAAAGTACCTGAGAAGCCGACGTGTTCTCATCAACCACTAAAACTCGAGTGCGTGTAGCACATCTTGGATAAGTACAGTATGGCGAGTGTTGCATGAAACATTCCGCAATTTGAAAAACACCGGTAATCACTCGCAAACCAACACTGAGTAGGGTTGCAATACTGTTTATCATGGAGTCCAATTTCATTTCTTTTCAGTCACTCTAGGGTGTCGACTCTGTGATGAGCTTCTTTCTGACCGCTGCAAAAAAGCTGATGCTGTAAAAAAAATGGCAACTTAAATAGTGTGCATTTTTATCACTGATTTTGACTGCCTTTACGAATTAAAATATATTTTATGGAAAGCAAGCACGGAAAAATCCTCTCTTGTACTTTTTTGATAGAAAATTACGCTTTCTTTAAATTTTATTTTTAAATGAAGGGTTTCCTTCGGTTTAAAAAAAATTTATAAATTGTCGAATGATTTCGAAACCCACCGACTGCTAGAACTGAATTCAAGTTTTACAAACTGAATGCTGTGTTCATCCTGTTTAAGGAAAAGTACGTTCTTGCCTACGGTCTGAGGAAATGGGTGCAAAGCTCTCATAGGATTTTGCAATAGACACGGATCATGCTGTATATATCAGGGGCAGCAGAAATAAGTAGACGGATACGGCGTATTATGAATGAGCACCGCCGAGTCGTAAAAAACTCCAAATTATAAGATTTTTTTTAAATCAAAGGAAGCCCTTCCTTTAAGAAGAAAATTTAAAGAAAGCGTAATTTGCTATCAAAAAAGTACAAGAGAGGATTTTTCCGTGCATGCTTTCCATAAAATATATTTGAATTTATAAAGACAGTCAAAATCAATAATAAAAATGCTTACTATTTAAGTAGCCATTTTTTACAGAATCAGCTTTTTCACAGTGGTCAGAAAAAGGCTCATCACAGAGTCGGTATCCTAGCGTGAAATTGGACTGCATGATAAACAGTATTTGAACCCTACTCAATGTTGCTTTGCGGGTGATTACCAGTCTTTTTCAAATTGTGGAATGTTTCATGCAGCACTCGCCATACTGTATGAGGAACAGTGGTGCCGGATATCTCTACTGCAACGAGTTGTCTCACACGGTCACCCGCTGCGCCTCCCTTGGATCGTTTAATGCATTTGACGTCCATCACTGTCCGGGCCGGCATGCTTAGAGGCGAATACGGTCTGGGTGACTAAAAACGGAAATAATGATAGCCAACCCTCAATAGCAGTTAGAGCGCTCTCATAGGGTAGGTCCGGAGATTTATGCAATATCGCCGGTGTACGTTCATGTCAGTCACTGATCCGTGGGAGTAATACCTTGCATATCCTAGCGGCTTGTTTAAGAGCTAGATGAGCAGGCTCCTTGTTATATTGATTGTAGCGGTCGAGTGTGAGTTCGAGCACCGTAATCGGTGATGTCCACCATTTGCCCGAGAGCAGGGACGGCGACTGTGGCCAGGTATAGTGAAAGTAGAC